TTTATGTTTAGTGGACAGTCAACATCTCGAAAATTCCATCACTGCTTCGATTAATTCAGGACCTTGCTTTATATGGCTTTCTTCTTTAACTTGCTACTTTATGCATTTATGACCATTTATTTACTATTGTTTCTCCTTATTAACTTTTTCAAGCTTATGCATTTCTAAACGTATCGTTTTATGGAATATTTTTAATTTGAATTAGATTCATATGTGTAACAATTGTGGCTACAACGACGCATTGGTTTCTTTTAATATTTTTTTTCTTTAGTATTTCAATCAGATCAGTCGATTCATGCATTATCAAGCGCATATGCTTCATCTTGTCTCGGATTTCGCTGTTGCCACCTTACGACAACAAGTCGGGGGGGCAACTTTTGACACTCCTGTTAATCTATTAGACAGAGTGAATACAACTTCTGAGGCCAATACAGTTTCTACTCCTGATTCTGCCTCTGCTCAGACAAAAACTTCCTTTACAAGTGCTCCAACTCAGTCTTCTTCGCACCTCGACATGCAAACGCCCTCGAACCCTGTCATTGTAGAGGCCGCCAGCTCTAGCCTCGCTTCTTCACAAGAAGCGGTGCCTGAAACTTCAACAACACCGACTGAGGCCCCCACGCGCCGACATCCTACGGTTCCTCGGCGCTTTTTAATAGTTCCAGAGATGGAGGGTCAACTTGTGCATGCCAGAATTAACATTGAGCCAACTACGCTCATGCTAGCTAGGCCGATTTCTCAACCATCGGCTCCCATTAACACAACTAGTGATGCTTTAGCATCAGTCGATCCATCTGGTTCAGATGCCAGTAATGCTCGGTCGTCATCTGAGAGCAGACTTAGTGAACAATCTATTTGGTATGCCAGGTTAATATCAAACATCATAGGTTTTAGTATTTACAAAAATTCACAGTAAATTGTGGAATGATCCAATTTGTAAAATGACAACTAGTGATGAATCTTCACTTGTTTGTGAGAATTTATGAGATCGTAATGAGATAAAGGAAGAGCAATTTAATCATAAATTTCAATTTTTAAACATTTTTAACGCGAACAAACATTATTTGAACTGATTAGCCTTAATGAATGCACCTGTGACCTTATTTTAGTAATCCCTTCGATTTTTATAAGGTTTTG